GAAACGATTGTCTGCCCTTGCTTTCACGGAGGGAGGGAGGGAACGGGGGCCTGACAATATGTACCCAGAACCACCCGCGACAATGTTTTAGCCCCATCAGAGTGCTCCATTGTTGCTGCTCTGGACAGCACTCTCAACTCAGATGCATGATTGTTTGCCATTGCTCTGATGCAGGGAGGGGCGACTGAGGACATGGCTTACAGGGTTGGCTTCAGGGAGCTAAAATCAACAAAGGGGGTGGCTTTACATCAAGTAGTATTTCAGGCAGGACTTCACGGAGGGTTCCAATAAGAAATGGTGCACCTAAGTTATTTTTCTTATTGGAACAAGGAGGTTAGCCTGGCCTCTGGTTGATACATGGCTAGATTTACCTCGCTGCACCTTCTCTGTGAGTGACTACAGTGTGCCCTAGAGGAATGAGGCCCCTAGACAGGGGAGGGGGGGAAGCAAATGAGTACAAAACAAATCTGGTCTATTTCTTGTTTTGATCCACTCCATCTATCTTTTACATCTTTGGCTGGCAGCAGACGGTGCAGAAGGACTGCATGCCATCCACATCTCATGGCTGCTCGGCAGAAGATGGTACAGCACGACTGCTAGCCATCCTCATCTCTTGCCTGCCCGGCAGAAGATGGTACAATATGACTGCTAGCAATCCGTATTGCCTGCCTGCTCACCATAAGACGGTTCAATAGGACTGACTGCAAGACTAAAGAGAATGACCTGGTCAAGTCACTCCAAATTTAGTCCCTGCGCCCATGTCTGCCCAGGCGCTCCCAGCCGACGTGGCCAGGAGCACCTCGGACATGACGATGATGGCTACCGGTCCTATTACACCATCTGCTGCCACAAGGCAAGGGGTTGCTGCTACTGTGTAGCAATGCAGTACCGCGACTGCCAGCACCCAGGAGACATACAGTGACGGTTATCTGAGCGGGCTCCATGCTTGCCGTGGTATGGCGTCTGCACAGGTAACTCAGGAAAAAAGGCGCGAAACGGTTGTCTGCCCTTGCTTTCGCGGAGGGAGGGAGGGAACAGGGGCCTGACGATATGTACCCAGAACCACCCGCGACAATGTTTTAGCCCCATCAGGCATTGGGATCTCAACCCAGAATTCCAATGGGCAGCGGAGACTGCGGGTACTGTGGGATAGCTACCCACAGTGCAACGCTCTGGAAGTCGACTCTAGCCTCGGTACTGTGGAAGCACTCCGCCGAGTTAATGCACTTAATGCACTTAGAACATTTTCTGTGGGGACACACACACTTGAATATATAAAACCAATTTCTAAAAAAAGACTTCTATAAATTCGACCTTATTCCGTAGTGTAGACATACCCTTAGGTCAACCTAGCTATGTCACTCACACCCTGAGAGACACAGTTAAGCCAACCTATGTCCCAGTGTAGACACCTACCGAGTCCACAGAAGAATTCTCCCATTGACTTAGCCACAGCCACCCCTCAGAGCGGAAGATTTACTACAACAATGGAAAAAACCCTTCCATCATTGCAACAAGTGTCTACAGTACAGTAGCATAGCTGCAGCTGTGCTATTCTTGTGTAGACATATCCTCAATCTCTACAGGCATGGCCACAGATTTCTAGACAACCTCCTGCTCCTTCCTGTTGATTTTATACTGTAATTGCCTGATTCCTCAGAGGTGGGGACTGTTTTGTAATCAGGGCTGGCCTCCAGCCATTAAGGGGTAAGCCACCTGTTACAATTCTCTCTTTTAAATGTTTTTCCCTCACTGGTTGCTGTGAGAGAGACCCACACAGACAGGAGAAACTGACTAAGGTCTCAATTCTGTGGACACTTAAAGCACTGTGAGTTATGCCTCTCACAGATGGCATGGTTTGCAGAATCTGGGCTCAAATGATTGACTACAGAGGGGGAAAACAGTTAAATTGACTATAAACAAAGTTCTGTCAAACTTTAAAAATTAGAGACTAGATGAGGGATGAGAACCACCCCCCCCCCCAGTTATGATTATCTTCGATATAACTTATAACAATAGTAGGTACATTTTTCAAAAAGTATGATTTTTAAGATGACAATGTCCCTTAAAATTAATACATATGTTGTACAAGATTATGCACTGGGCAATTTTCTTCTGTAATTAGGAAAAGCAGAATCACTGGTATTTAACTTGGTAAATAACTCTTTCCCCACATCCTCATTGTGACTGTGTAATTTTATCATTGGCTAGCAAATGTCTTCACACAGAGACGTGCCCAGTCCCCCATAAGACTTATATTCTGCCAGCTGTTTTTTTGGTGATGAGACTGACACTGCCATAGGCTGTCTCGCCTGAAGATTCATGCTGTTCATCTCTGCATCTGAAAGGCTAAAAAGGAGGAAAATCCAAGAGCCACAGCTCAAGCAGGCTGGGGGAGGGTTGTTTACAGCTGCAGTCTTCCCCAGTAAAACCCATGCCTGTTTTTATACTGTGGTGCTATTGGGATGAGCAATCCTCCCCTACCCCCCAAGCACCTCACAGTAGGTAAGGGTGCTGCTTAATCTGATTCATAACATAACCCTTCCTTTTCTACTACTGATTCCTTACAACCCACTCCAGCCTGTTTAGAAGCTGTTGCTCCTTCACCAAAAGGAAGTGTTCTGGTTTCTCCACTCCTCAGAAGCAACTATGGATTTAACACTACAGTTAACTGGGAAATCTTGTTAATTTGTGTTCTCTGTCCATGTCACAGAAGCAGCATTTTCCATAATTAATTTGCTGAGCTTCTAATAGTGTCTGTCTATGATGGGGCATCTGCCCCACACTGGCGTACAAGGGGTTAATAGGGCAATTTCTCTCCTTGCCTTTTGGCCCACATCACTTTTTCTACCTATCCCATCAGTCACATATATATTTTTGTATTGTGGGGGAAGGTAGCTAGATAGATGTGACAGGGGCTACCTACATATCTACTTTTCCCCACCACATCACATGTGGTGGACTCTATTGTTTTGTTCTCTTCACACTGAACAATGTGGAGACTGCAGGGACACAAAATCAGTTACTGGGCTCAGCAGGTCAGGGCATGATGTGACCATAATGATGGCATATTTCCCCCCTTCAGTTCAGTGTCTATCAATTAAATTTAACAACTTCAGAAAAAGGAATTAAATATTTCAGGAGCAAATCAGTTGAGGAAGAAACAAAACTTGGGTTTAGATATTACACTATAAGAGATCAAGATGTGGACTTTTTGGTGTTAATCTTTGAAATCAATGTAATTATCATATGCCATGAACAGAAGAGTTGGACAGCAAGGGAGTCTCAACCAAAAGCAAAGCGAATGAATAAAATATACAGATAGAAGGCAAAATTGTGCTGTGCTGTAAGGATCAGCACTTCAAACAGTGCTGTGGTAATTAGCACAATACCATCTTAGAGAAATCCAAAACCATTTACGTACACTCTCTGGCTTTATTGCAGAGTTCCCAAGGGAATGTAAACTAAGGGTACTGGGGACACATTGTTTAGTGTATTGTTTGATAAAAACAACAAGGAGTCCGGTGGCACCTTAAAGACTAACAGATTTATTATGCTCAAATAAATCTGTTAGTCTTTAAGGTGCCACCTGACTCCTTGTTGTTTTTGTGGATACAGACTAACACGGCTGTTTGATGTTTGATAAAAGAGAGCCAAAAGTCAAGGAAAGTCCTTGAAAGTGAAAGCTACAGGCAGAATGAAGAAATATAATGAACATTAGATTCACATGAAAATACTTTGATGTCAGTAATGTAGAAGCACAGTCTTCTAGGTGGGCACTAACCCTTGTGTCAGGCACACGAATAGAACTGTTGTGTCATCTGCCATCACAAAAGGCAACTAGGAAAGCTGAGACCCCATTCTGTATGTCACCTGTATTTATTATTCCTGGGGGAATTCTGCATCACTGCGCATGCGCAGAATTCATGTCCCCTGAAGATTTCTTTGCTTCCTCACAGAAAAATGACTTCTGATGGGGAAGCAAAGGGAAGCCGCAAGAGCAGTTATGTATCCCTCCCTAGCAGTGCAGGCAAGTCAGTTTGTGTGACTGAAGCAGCTGATAGAAACATAAATCACCCTGGCCGGGGGGGGGGAGAAGATGGGCAGTCATGCATGTGAGAGAGAGTGACACTTAGTCCCTCTTGCTCACTGTTGTGGCATGCTCAGCGTGGAGGGGCAGGGCTTTGGGGTGTTTCTGAGGAGGTAGGAGTGGGGCAGGCTCTGTCCTCTCAGGTAGAACAGAATGTATAGAATCACAGGACTGGAAGGGACCTCGAGAGGTCATCTAGTCCAATCCCCTGCACTCATGGCAGGACTAAGTATTATTTAGACCATCCCTGATAGGTGTATACTCCTGGGGGAATTCTGCACCACTGCGCAATGCAGAATTTTGCAGAAATTAATGTGTGCACAGAATTTCCTTTCCCCCACAGAAATGGGCTGCAATGCTGCTAGCTGCCACTGGACCCAACAGAGCCCAGCTTGCACAAAGAAGACACTGCTGTGGGAGGGAGAGGGAGCTAGAGGGTTCCTGGCAGTTGCTGTTCCCAGCATGCCCTGAGAGAAGGAAAGGGCAGCAGGCAGGAAACTCCATGCAAGCCTGGTACCGACCATCAGGCTGTTTCTCCCTCTGTATTCCTGGGCTCTGTGGGGAGGGGTTGTGGGCATCTGGCCCCTGGCTGGACTTGGGGGCAGGGGAGTTGCAGAGAAACAGGAACAGGGTTTTCATAGGGGTTTCTTTAACTTTATTCCTGAGGGAATTTTTGTGTGTGTCTGTATTGTTACAGACATACTTGCTGACAGGTATTTTGAAATAAATTACCAAAATAATTGAAACTGGTGTGATTATGTAGTGTTATTTTGACAAATACATTTTGCAGAATTTTAAAATAGTGTGCAGAATTTTAAATTTTTTGGCGCATAATTTTTAATTTTTTGGTGCAGAATGCCCTGAGGAGTAATTTATGATTACTGTCTGCATGATGGAGAGCGTGCATTACCTGTGTTCATGGCAGATACAGTCACAATGACAGGATCCACATGATGTGACGCGTCCCTGTGTAACTTGCTCGAACACTGGTGTCCATGACAAAGCAAAGGAACAAGGTGCATATCTGTGTAATAAACAGGTAGACACTGACTGTTGGAGATCCAAGTCAAAGGCATTACATATATTGTCTGTTATCTTTTTTCTTCAAGGTATTATTTAGTTGCTAAAACTTTGGAGACTTGTGGTTATCATTATCATGCCAAATCAGCAGTTAAAAAACTCAGAATTTCTTCAAGCCACATGGATTGGAAGAGAAGGATGAGAGTAGAGGCTGTGGGAATTGAAGAATATGCATGTCCTGAGATTATGTACGTTGAGAAAGGAATTGAAGACTATGCATACTCTAAGATTAGGTGTGCATCAAGAATCTCAAATCAATTTTGATTGGAAGGTGCAAGCAGTTACATGCACTTATCTATAATATACACTATTACTTGCTCTACCTTATCCCTTTGGTGTTTTTCTCTTCCTTACTACTGTGTTGGTGCTGTAGCACAGGGAGACTTCCCCTGACACAAACTGTGCTTCCTAATACATTTCCCACCTTTATGAGTCTCTAAAAAGGAGTCTCTAAAAAGGAGTCTCTAAGAGCTGAAGCGCTTAGAGCTGGAAAAGGCTAAGATGGATCAACCAGTTAGCCATATCGGTGGTCCTCCACATACTGCTCCCCATTCCAAGAAATTTCCCACATACAAGGTAGGCAATAATACAGAGGTCTTCTTAGAAAATGTTGAAAAGGCCTGCCTTGGGTACAACATCCCTACAGACCAGTATATGGTGGAGCTGAGGCCACAACTCAGTGGACCTTTAGCAGAGGTGGCAGCTGAAATGCCTAAAGAACACACAAACAAGTATGAACTTTTTAAAGAAAAGGCCAGAATTAGGATGGGGCTAACACCTGAGCAGGACCGTCGGCGGTTCAGAGCCCGAAGGTGGAAACCAGACATGGCATTTTCCCAACACGCCTACCACACTGTGAAAAATTAGGATGCCTGGATATTAGGAGCAAGTGTGAAGACTCTGGAAGATCTGTCTCGCCTCATGCAAATGGAATAATTCTTACAGGGTGTTCCTGAGGAAATAGAAAGGTACATCCTAGATTGGAAGCCTAAAACTGTAATTGAGGTGGGGGAGATCGAAGCCAAATGGGTGGAGATGGCAGAGGAGAAGAAAGCTACAAGCAGTTAGTGCGGATAGCAGAAGGGGCAACCCGAGACAACACCCCACAATCAAAGTCAGCCCAAGGCCCCACCTCGCAAGGAGGAGCCCTCCACACAGCCAGGGAAACCCCAGATGCCCTCTTGTCCCACGACCCCACTCTCCAACCACCCACCTCGCCCCAGCCCACAGTCAGCTGGGCGATGCTTTGAATGTAATGAGCTGGGGCAAGTGAAGGCCAACTGCCCCAAGAGCACCAGCCGACTGCAATTCATCACCCCAGGGTCCCAACGAGAGTCTTCAGGCCCAGATGCCTCGCAAATATCCCAGAGCGAAGGGATACTGTGAGTGTGGGTCAGAGGAAGATTACTGCATGGAGAGACACTGGAGCACAGATGTCAGCTCGCCACCAATCCCTGGTGGACCCCAAATTCATCGACCCAGAGGCCCAGATGACAGTGCAACACTTTAAGGCCAACTCTTTTAACTTCTCTTCAGCCAAGTTCCCTTCAGTCCAGTAGAAGGGCTGGTCAGGAATATGGACTTTGCAGTCTATGACGATTATCCCATTCCCATGCTGCTGGGAGAAGACATACCACGTAAGGCTAACAAAAAGGGTGGGGCTGGACACCTGCAGCCAGGCTAAACAGGCCTCCACACTTAACTCCATTCCTGAGCCTCCTACAGGGACCCAGGCAGAGGTGGTGAAACCAGATCCCAGACCAAAGTCTATGGCAACAGTTGTAGATCCAGTTCCTGGGACCTACCCAGAACCAGCCCAAGAATTGGAACTGGTAGAGTAGTCAGCACCAGAGCCCGTGCTTACAACCCCACCAGAGACAGGGGAGCCAGCACCAAAGGGTGCCACAGAACCTGCACCTGCAGCAGCAGCTAAACCAGAGCAAGAAGCTCAACTGGAGCCTGAAGTACAACCTAGTGCACCAGTGGAAAGCGGTTCACAATTGACGGAGACAATCCCATCACCTGCATCGCTTCCAGTGGGACCAAGCCTAAGTCCACAACCCAGCAAGAAACTAATCTCTCCAGCATCAAGGGAGCAATTCCAGGCAGAGCAGGAAGTGGATGAAAGCCTCAAGGGAGCTTGGATGGCAGCATGGAGAGACCCACCACCTCTCAGCTTTTCCAAAAGGTCCAGGTTTGTTGTAGAAGGAGGACTCATATACAAGGAAACCCTTTCTGGTGGGCACAAGGAGGACTGGCATCCTCACAGACAGTTGGTAGTTCCAACTAAGTATAGGGAAAAGTTCTTGAGCTTAGCCCACAATCACCCTAGTGGCCATGCTGGGGTGAACAGGACCAAAGACTGTTTGGGGAAGTCATTTCACTGGGAGGGAATGGGCAAGGATGTTCCTACCTATGTCAATTTCTTGTGAGGTGTACCAGAGGGTGGGAAAGCCCCAAGACCAGGTCAAGGCCCCTCTCCAGCCACTCCCCATCATTGAGGTTCCATTTCAGCATGTAGCTGTGGATATTCTGGGTCTTTTCCTTAAGAGGACACCCAGAGGAAAGCTATACATACTGACCTTCATGGATTTTGTCACCCGATGGCCAGAAGCAGTAGCTCTAAGCAACACCAGGGCTAAAGGCATGAGCCAGGAATTGGCAGACATTTTTGCCAGGATAGGTTGGCCCTCCAACATCCATCAGATTCAGGAACTAACTTCCTGGCAGGGATCATGAAACGTCTTTGTGAAACTCATGGGGTGAGCCACTTGGTTGCCACCCCTTACCACCATCAAACAAATGGCCTAGTGGAGAAGTTTAATGGGGAACTTTGGGGGCCATGCTATGTAAATTCGTAAATGAGCACTCCAGTGATTGGGACCTAGTGTTGCAGCAGTTGCTCTTTGCCTAATGGGCTGTACCACATCCCAGTCTGGAGTTTTCACCCTTTGACCTCGGTTATGGCCTTGAAGTTAAGGGGCCATTACAGCTGGGGAAGCAGCAATGGGAGGGGGTTACATCTTCTCCAGGAACTAACATTTTGGACTTTGTAACCAGCCTGCAAAACACCCGCAAGGACTCTGTAGCCCTTGCTTGAAAAAACCTACAGGATGCTCAACAAGAGCAAAAGGCCTGGTATGAAAAACATGCCAGAGAACATTCCTTTGAAGTAGGTGACCAAGTCATGATCCTGAAAGCGCTCCAGGCCAATAAGATGGAAGCGTTGTGAGAGGGCCATTTATGGTCCGAAAGTGCCTGGGAGCTGTTAATTACCTCATAGCGTCCCCAGACCCTACCTTAAAACCTAAAGTATACCATGTTAATTCTCTAAAGCCCTTTTATTCACGAGAAATCAAGGTTCTCCAGTTTACAGCCTAGGAGAGAGATGATGCTGAGTGGCCTGAAGGAGTCTACTATGAAGGAAAACGCAATGGTGGTGTAGAAGAGGTGAGCCTTTGCATAACCCTTGGGCGTAAGCAGCAACACAAGCCTATGAGGATATCCGATGCGTGGTAATACTGGATTTAGCTCTCACAGTTCATGTCATCAGTAGAAAGTCAAGAGTCATTATCTTTGAAAACTCATGGTTATCTTTGAAAACTCGTGGCGAACGGGGGAAGTCCCGGATGACTGGAAAAAGGCTAATGTAGTGCCAATCTTTAAAAAAGGGAAGAAGGAGGATCCTGGGAACTACAGGCCAGTCAGCCTCACCTCAGTCCCTGGAAAAATCATGGAGCAGGTCCTCAAAGAATCAATCCTGAAGCACTTGCATGAGAGGAAAGTAATCAGGAACAGCCAGCATGGATTCACCAAGGGAAAGTCATGCCTGACTAATCTAATTGCCTTTTATGATGAGATTACTGGTTCTGTGGATGAAGGGAAAGCAGTGGATGTATTGTTTCTTGACTTTAGCAAAGCTTTTGACACGGTCTCCCACAGTATTCTTGTCAGCAAGTTAAGGAAGTATGGGCTGGATGAATGCACTGTAAGGTGGGTAGAAAGCTGGCTAGATTGTCGGGCTCAACGGGTAATGATCAATGGCTCCATGTCTAGTTTGCAGCCGGTGTCAAGTGGAGTGCCCCAGGGGTCGGTCCTGGGGCCAGTTTTGTTCAATATCTTCATAAATGATCTGGAGGATGGTGTGGATTGCACTCTCAGCAAATTTGCGGATGATACTAAACTGGGAGGAGTGGTAGATACGCTGGAGGGGAGGGATAGGATACAGAAGGACCTAGACAAATTGGAGGATTGGGCCAAAAGAAATCTGATGAGGTTCAATAAGGATAAGTGCAGGGTCCTGCATTTAGGACGGAAGAATCCAATGCACCGCTACAGACTAGGGGCCGAATGGCTAGGCAGCAGTTCTGTGGAAAAGGACCTAGGGGTGACAGTGGATGAGAAGCTGGATATGAGTCAGCAGTGTGCCCTTGTTGCCAAGAAGGCCAATGGCATTTTGGGCTGTATAAGTAGGGGCATTGCCAGCAGATTGAGGGACGTGATCGTTCTCCTCTATTCGACATTGGTGAGGCCTCATCTGGAGTACTGTGTACAGTTTTACACCCCACACTACAAGAAGGATGTGGAAAAATTGGAAAGCATCTAGCGGAGGGCAACAAAAATGATTAGGGGTCTAGAATACATGACTTATGAGGAGAGGCTGAGGGAGCTGGGATTGTTTAGTCTGCAGAAGAGAAGAATGAGGGGGGATTTGATAGCCGCTTTCAACTACCTGAAAGGGGGTTCCAAAGAGGATGGCTCTAGACTGTTCTCAATGGTAGCAGATGACAGAATGAGGAGTAATGGTCTCAAGTTGCAGTGGGGGAGGTTTAGATTGGATATTAGGAAAAACTTTTTCACTAAGAGGGTGGTGAAACACTGGAATGCGTTACCTAGTGAGGTGGTAGAATCTCCTTCCTTAGAGGTTTTTAAGGTCAGGCGTGACAAAGCCCTGGCTGGGATGATTTAACTGGGAATTGGTCCTGCTTCGAGCAGGGGGTTGGACTAGATGACCTTCTGGGGTCCCTTCCAACCCTGATATTCTATCATTCTATGATTCTATGATTCTAGTAACTATGTTACACAATGCATAAATAACCTTCAAATTCACTGTGTCAAGATATTATTGAGGACAGAATGCTAGTGGGAGTTAGAAAAAGATTATGGATTTATAATCCAACTGCACAAAAACATTGTTAAAAACAGTTAAGGTTTCTTAAAGGCAAAATCCAGCCACATAAACCCTCAAAAAGCAAGGAAATGATCAGTAAAAGGCAACTTATTTACAACATTTTGACACCAATACAGCATATTAATAAGTCTCACTGACAGACTCTGCCCCTCCATCTGGAACTCCTTTCCACCTCCAGCGGATAAAACCACACACTACACAAAATATGTTAATCTCACTTGAACTGTAATGTAAAACCTTAACTGTCACCTAATAAGAATGTTCACAGTAACATTCATTAATATTAAAAAGCACAAGGAATATAAAACCTCATGCTTCAGGGCAGATGCCAAACAGCATGCCTTCCACCATGAGCAGATTATTTTCTATAGCATTGGTACTATGATGCTATAATTCTCTTTAGAAGTGATATAACTCCTTTGATTCAGTGGAATTGCATCCAGGATGAACTTGTCCTATTTAAAATCAATTAATCTTCCTCCTTGGTCAAATATTACCAAACTAGACAACTACCAGTATTTATTCCTTTATACACAGAAAGCCTTCAATATTCCCACCCCCTTCAAAAAATCTAAATAAACATCATAGGACCACTAAAACACATGCCGTGCCATTTCAGTGCTCAGTCTCCCTGCTCTTGCTATCACCTCTCTTCTGCTTGTATGTTTTCTGTTTACACTGTCTAGCTAGATTGGAAGGTCTCTGGGAGAGGGATCTCATCTTCATATCTATCTGTAATGCACCTAGCTCACTAATGTCGCTATACAAAAATTTCCACAGGTGGCTAGCCAGAGAAGGGGAGATGAGGTTCAGCCCCACCTGTGACAGAATCAGCTCACTTCCCTAGGTGGAGAAAATGGAGGAGGTCGTGTTACTCAGTTAGGCCTGGAGTATATAAAACAGAGGCCTGTGGAGAGCCAGAGGGGGCTTTGGGGCTGGGCTGACGTTTCCCCCAGCTTGGGGAAGAGGTGGAGGGAAATGACTGCAAAGAGCAAGAAAAGTCTTGCAGGCTGGGACTGACTCATGGAGGAGAGGGCATGCTGGATGGATCAGAGGAAGACTGGGAAGGCTAAGTACTTTTGAGGTGGGGCAGTAGCTTGTCAAGGAGAGATGGAAAATTTAGTGGATGATACTGAAGCTAGTCTAGAAAATGTAGAAGGGGATGGCAAGGAGGAAGAATGGTCACAGGTTCGGAAAAAGAAAAGGGTGGATTGCGTGATTCAGAAGGATCAGCAAGGAGGAGATAGGAAACTTTGTAATTGTATAAAGATAGAGGATGTTAACCTCCTAAAGTAGCAGAGTGGTTAAAAAAGTGCGCTCGTGATATAGTGAGAGCTAGGAAACTACAAGATGGTGATTTGTTAGTGGAATGTAAAAAAAAAGTGGGGAAACTACTTAAGACTAAGGTTCTATGAAAACGGAAAGTAAGCTGTCAACTCCCCAAGTTTCTGCTGGAAACAAAAGGATAGTGTATGGTGTTCTTATTAAAATGACTGGAGATGAAATCAAGCAAGATATAGGAGATACGGTGATTATGCTAAGTAGTTAATTAGCCGGAGAGGAGGTGGGAGGTTAAAAAAAAGAGCATTTAAAATATTAAATAAAAGAAAAATATAAAAGGTTAAAAGAAAACACATGGCAAAAAAGGGAATTTTATAAAGCAGAGACTGTTTAGTAAGCACATGGTAAAAAATATAAAGGGAGGTTAATAGAAAAGCATTTAAAATATTAAATATAAGGATAGGTTAAGAAAAGAGCATTTAAAAGAGTTAAATAAAAGAGAAACATATAAAGATAAGTTAAAAGAGAGAACAGGGCAGGAAAAAGGAAAAGAAAGCCCCTTTGCAAAGGACAAAGATTGGCAGCACGTGGTTGAGTCAGAGAGAGAGAGAGATCTTACCCTTGCGACTGTTCCGGCGGAAAGAGGGAGCTCCCAAGGCTCACTACCCCTCAGGCTAGTTACCTCCGCCTTTGGATCAGACCAATCAGATGCTGTTCTACAGTTGCGTCATAGAATAAATTTTCCTGAACCACTCCTACAGTCCCAAGATTTTTAAACAAGAGCGATCTCCCTCACTACCCCCTCTCTCCTTTAACTGCTTTATTCTTATCTAAAAAAACAAACCCCAAGCATCTTTCCCGCCATGTAGCACTTTTACACGGGTGCTTTAATAAAGGTTAAAACCATAAGCCCTTAATAACAAACAGTTTTTAAAAGTTTTTCCCTATGCTTTTGGTGAGGACAATTTGAAGCTGCAGCAAAAGCAGCTTTGTTAGCCTGTGAATTAGAGATAAAGAAGGCTGTTAGATGTCCAGAACAAAGAGATATGAAGTTTGTTTCTTTTTAAACTTTTGAACAAAAGCAAGTAAAAGTTATATTAAGTTTTGTAAAGTAATAAAGCTCTATTTTATAATCACTTGAAAAGACAAGCCTATTTGAGGAAACAGCCCTTTATTTTACATTTTTACATGTGTTTCAATAAAAAATTAGCATGCAGAAACACCCCAGAGTTAAAACCACAGAACCTTAGTAACAGCTAGTTTATATTCCTCTTATTCTGTAATCCAGTGGATCAGAGAGAAGTTTATTTTCCCCTCCATTTTTTAACAAATCCATGTGAAAGTTATATTAAGCTTATATTTACTTAAACATTTTAATTTTTGTTGCATTATCAGACTGTTTTTGGTCTTCAATGTTTGCAGACCATGGACTGAGACATAGATACATGCTTCTGTGTTTGTTTTGTGTTTAGAAGCTGTATTTAAAATAATGCTTTATAAAAACAAAAAGTATTTTTGTGTACTTTGTGTTTATAAGAAGAAAAAAAGCATTGTAGGGGTTTTTATTAATAAGTTTAGTGGGCATTTTTAAATGAGCAAGTTTGCTTTAAAAATCTGTTTAGTTACTATTAAACAAAGCCAGGGCCATAAAATTAATTAAAGGAAACAGAGGTGTAGATTTCAAAGCCTGCTGGTTACAGAAATGTTAATGGGCATATCACTATTTACATAGTCTTTTTATTAACAGTTTAAATAACTTACTATATAAAATAAGAACTTTTTACCATTAAAGTTTAAAGAAGCTAAGTTATGTAGTAACATGCCTCCCTCCTTTTTTCCCAGGAAAAAAAAACAAAAAACCCCCAAAAAACGAGTAAAGGACCCCTGGTCCATTCTTATCTTTAAAAAAAAAGGACCTCCTCCCCCCGCCCGAGACAAAAGCTGGCCAACACATAATATGAAAGGTTTCAGAGTAGCAGCCGTGTTAGTCTGTATTCGCAAAAAGAAAAGGAGGACTTGTGGCACCTTAGAGACTAACCAATTTATTTGAGCATAAGCTTTTGTGAGTACTCCTATTCTTTTTACATAATATAAACAATTTTAAAATGCCCTTAACAATGTGTTTTCTAAAGTAATGCCTAAAAAACCCATCTTTTCTAACTTATTAAAAATGTAAAATAAAAAGATAACCAAACCCAACCCTCATTGCCTGTAAATTGTGCAGAAAGCTTTAAAAGTTAGGGTCCAGTTACAACCCATCCCAACTGTGACTTTTTAAAAAAGGGTTAGAACATAATATGAAAAATTTCAAAAAAATCCACAGTAAACCACAAAAGGCTTATGTAGTTTCTTCATATATTGGTTTGATTAAAGGAAACAAATGTGTAGGTTTTAAAAGCCACAGCAACCTAAAAAGGCACCTTTTTAACAGTGTAAAATAAGAAGGAAAAAAACATTTTAGGGCTTTTAGTAATATGTTTAACAGGGGTTATTTTTGAATCAGCAAGCTTATTTTAAAAAGCTGTTTAGTTACCATTAAACAAAAGCCAAGGCCATGAAATTTAATTAAAAGAAACAGGTTGCAGCTTTTAAAGACTTCTGGTTACAGAGATATTAATGAACACTTACATTTTATTTTTATTAACTGTTTAAATACACAATATATAAAATAAGAACTATTTACAATTAAAGTTTAAAGAAGCTAAAGTATGTAGCAACATGCCTCTCTCCTTTTTTTCCTAGAAAAAAAATGACCCTTACACACCCTGGTTTTTCGAAGAAATGCCTTTTTAAATTTTATTTTTTGGGGGGCCCCATGCCTTTTTTTCCAACAGGTTTAGGCCTATAAATAGAGACAGAAAACTGGACAATGCTGTCAAAGAAATATTGCTGATGCAAGACTTCTGCTGTCCTGGGGAGCAACGACATGGTAAGAAAAATTACTAGTGTGTGTGTGCCTCCACCGTTTTATGCATGTGTTGTGTTTAGTTAAAAGTTAATTTGTTTCTTTTAAATAGGACCATACCTTTTCCCTTGACATACCAGATTCTGCACTAAAAGTTTTAAATTGTGGTACGCTGATTAATATGCTACACAGTTATGGTTTATTTTTAAAAGAAATGGTTTTAAGGATTTTATTACTTTTTTAATTTAGAACAAGATGGAAGTCAAAATCAATGGTATGAGCTGTTTATTTAATGTGTCTGAAGTAACGGTTATTGGAATTAGTGAAATAACGGTTATTGGAATTAGTGAACATTTTTTCCCCCTAGGGGTTGTGCATTAACATGTGTATTGGGGCTATGTTTGTTACTATTAGTAAAAAAGAAGTTGCCTTTTCCCCAAAGATTTTACTGTAATAAAAAAAAAAAGGGGGGGGGATTTGCTGGCGGCTGTTGAGGGTTTGGGAGCCGCATGGTGCTCCTGTGCTGTAAGCGGGAAAAGCACTTTTTTTTTTTTACATTGTATTTGAACACACAGTTTTTCAGCACCATTTCTATAAAAAGTGTTTCAGGATCACGGGATGGGTTATGTGTGAAAGCTTTTGAAATATATATATGGGGGATATATTTGTTGCTGTTAGTAAAAAGAACCTATGGGATTATGTGTTTAAAAACATTTTGTTTATGTGTATTGGCAGATTTATCAAATGTTATCCCACAAGAAGAAATGCTAAAGGGGATCTTGCTTAAAGGGGCCAAGAAATTTCCCTCTGAATCAGTTACAGTTTAGAACAAGGGAATCTGTCCCCCTGATTTTGAACAGCACTGCACATCTAAAACCTTCATTACACAGAGCCAACTACCTTTAAAGGGGGCAAAGAAATTTCCCTCTGAGGCAGCTGCAATTTCCAGTGTTGGAAGCAAGGGTATCAGACCCCCCCACACCCCGATTTTGAACAGCCCTGCACATCTAAAACCTTCATTACACAGAGCCTACCATCCATAAAAAGGGCCAAGAAATCTTCCCCTGAAGCAGTGACAGTTTCCAGGGGTGGGGAAAAGGGGATCAGACCCCCCTGATTTTGAACAGCCCTGCACCTCCAGAGCCAAGAAATCTACCTCTGCAGCTTCCAGGGACATTGGTAAGCGATGCAAAGGGGTCAAAGCCCCTAGTTCTGAGCAACCCTATGCCATCACAGCCCAGAAAGAATCAGCTTTAAAAAGGGTAAATGCAAAGAACCCTGTAGCAGCAACAGTGTCCAGCGGTGGGCTTGAGCAGGGTCAAGGGGTCAGCCCCCCTGATTCTGGTTGCTGAAGAACCGTTGCTACAAATAATAACCTACCTGTAGGTCTTGCTGCATCAGTTGTTGTTTGTAATAAGCTGTTTAGTGTTTGTACATCTCTTAAGTGTTTAATAGATAAAAAGTTTTCAAAGCTAATTCTTGAGGTGTTTCAAAAGCAACATTCTCCAGAAGAAAGGTGGTTTTAGACCAAAAAGTAACAGATACACGTGCACTGTCTGAAAAGGTGGAAAGCGTTTTGAAGGGAGAAGGGAGGGTGTGACTAAACATGATACCTAACAACGTAAAGAGGGGTTGGGGAAAAAAGTGGAAGAAATCTAAAAGATTGAGGAGGCTTTTGGCCAAGAAACTTTAAAAAGCCAGAGCTTTTTTATGAAAATGACCCCCAACCAAGAAAGGGAAATAGACATAGACCCCCCCAAACCCCCTCTTCTGAAGGTACAGATTCTCCTGCTCCTAATACACCTCCTCAGGTGTATTTGGAACATGTGAGACACTAGATAAGACCCTGAAGAGAGTTTAACACTTATGAATATTTTCAAGAATTTTGTTTCGCTAATTTGGACAGAGTAATGGGGTTCACAGAGGCCATGGTGGCTGTTGAAACCGCTATTCAAAATTTGCTAGATTATATTAATAATCAGGTGGGGCCTGAAGATTTTGTTCAGCTATGCTTAGATGCCCTGGGGCTAAATCACCCGCTCTTTTCTCTGCAGAGGTCTTGGGAAGATTTAAACATTGTTGATTTTTTTAAATAACTTGGTTACGGTGTTGCAGAGTAACGCAGAGATCGTGGGTTCCGGAACTCTAAGACTGGTTGTCATGATTATTAGAAGCAGGGCTGGTGAAGTTGGCTCTGTAAGACCCTTAAAGACTATCACATATAGTAGAATCATCGAAAAAAAAGAAAACATTTAATTGATTTAAATAACCAGGGTGACAACCTGTGTTTTGCTGGTAGCACGCTGGATCTCTTATCAAATGAAAAACTGACAGATGCCCAACTATTAGAGCGCACCAGACATCTCCAACAGGAGCTGGGGCTTTCAGACCAAAAAATGATTAGCTTTACATATGTGAGCTCTTTTGAAGAGCGTTTAGGTGTGACTATTACAATCATGTATCATGAAAATGGGAATTGCCGCTTTTTTCCAACAGCTGGTGTACATCACCTCAAAACTGTTTTTGTTGTGTTACATGACAAACATTATTATGGCATCCGAAATATTAAAGCCTTTCTAGGAGCAGCATATTTGTGCAACTACTGTCACGCCACATACAGCCACAAACACCAGCCCGCCTGTAAAAACCACTGCAGTATGTGTAATAGTGCAGAGTGCATTGAAGTGGCCAAGGGGAAAAAAAGAGACGCCCCGGTTGTAAGCTGTTTTGCAAGT